TCTCTCCCCCATTTTTGCCAACCCCTCCACCCAGCAAAGCCAAGTGTGCCCAAAGCCAGGTCCTGGCAGTTGTGCTGAGCTGCTGTCTGTGCCACTGCACCTTCAGAGGGGATACTGCCCTCTGGGGACGTCTGTCTGTCTGTCTGTCTGTCCCCTCAGCAGCTCCGCTCTGGGGTGGTTGTAGGGCAGGGCTGAGTCAGCCCCACACCTCACCCTGGCTTTGGGGTCACACTTTGGCTTTCTGGTATCTCACACCCAAAATCCAAACCTGAGGGACTTGAACTCGGCTTCATTTGGAGCGTGGCCACCAGCAGAGCATCCCAAAGGTGGGATGTCCCTGCAGGATCCGTGTCCCTGCAGGATCCCTGTCCCTGCAGGATCCGTGTCCCTGCAGGATCCGTGTCCCTGCAGGATCCGTGTCCCTGCAGGATCCCTGTCCCTGCAGGATCCCTGTCCCTGTAGGATCTCTGTAGGATCCGTGTCCCTGTAGGATCCCCACGGGGACAGAGCCGTGCTCCTTCCCTTCAAATTCCCATTTCTTGTGGGTTTGGGGAGGGTAGGGGGAAAGGGGAACCCAAATCACCCCTGACACAGAATGTATTTGATGGATTTATTGCAATGCCCGGGATTGGGAGACCTGAGCCCCCCACGTGTGGGTCAGACCCACAGGAATGGGAACACACAGCTCAGGGCTGCTGACTCTGCCCTGCCCTGGTGTAAATCAGGAATAATTGCACAAAAGGCATCGATGCTGTGGATTTACACATCAGCAGACAGGACAGGAGGGGCCAACTCCAGACCCTTCAGAGCTGCTGTTCCTGGGCCAGCTCCTGGTCCCAAACCCTGCTGGAAACCCAGAGTGGGCTCAGCTCATCTTTGGGATCCTCTGGATTTCCAGCAGGGCCAGCACCGCTGGATTTGGCCGGGTGGAGTTCCTTTAATGCACCGGATGAGATGAATGCACATTGCAGAGGAGGAGATTTGGGGATTTGGGGAGGCCACAAGGAGGTGACAGCTGTCCTGGGGACACTGCCATGGCCATCTGTCCTGGGGACATTGCCATGGCCATCTGTCCTGCTGGAGAGCAGATAATTCCTGCAGCAGTGAGGAGGGAGCCCGGGGAAGGGGAGAAGGGATGCTGGCAGTCCCCCAGGGCTGGGGGTGCAGGTTCCCCCTTGGCACCACATCCACGGGGGAGTGTGGAGCAGGGAAAAAGCTCCTGGGAGGCTGAAATTCCTCTCAGGGCTCCATGGAACCAAAAGGGATCTGCTGCAGGAGGCACAACTCGCTGCTGGGTGAGGAGGAGAGGAGACACGAGCAGGAGAAGGCTCCTGGCTCCTGTGCCTGGCTGGGAGCAGCATTCCCCCTTCCTGCTGGCTTTGGGCACTGCCAGAGCCCTTCTGCTTCAAAACTTCCCCATCCCAGGCTTTGGAGGAGGAGGGAAGGAGGGAGGGATGGAGGCTGAGCTGTGCCGAGAGATTCTGGAGAGGTGGAGCGAGGAGGGAGAGGTGATTTTGGGATTTTTTTTTGGGGGTGATTTGGGTTTGTCACAGATCCGGGGTTTGGGGTCTGAGCTGGGTTTACCTGCTGGCTCCAAGGAATTTCCAGGGGATGGAAGGAGGCTGAGCTTTGCTGCCTGTGCTTCTTCGGGAGACACCCAAGGAGAAGCAGGGATGGATCAAGTTGTGCCTTGGGAAGGAGCCAGCTGCTGATTTTCCCTGCCATGGGAGTGGAGGTGGATGCTCCACCTGCAGAGCTCAGCCATCAGCAGGGCGTGCTCATCCCGTTCATCCAGCCATCAGCACCGGCGACTGAACCAGGGATTTTTTTTTTTAGGATTTATTAAAGCCAGGCGGCTCCAGGGAAAGCAGAGGGCCCGATCCTGCAGGGGACCAGCTTGGGGGATGTCAGAGGAGCTGTGCTGCGAGCGTGGCTCGGCTCAAAGGCAGCTGCTCCGTCAAACAAGTGACAATCACAGGCCCTAAATGAGTCTGGATTTGTCGTCTGCCCGCACAAACCCCGTCAGACTTGTTTGGCTTTGTGTGGCAGCAGAATGGGACTCAGGCAGCTCGGCAGGGTTTGTGCTGAGGAATGAAACATCCCGCCTTTGAGTCAGGCATTCCCCAGGGAATTACCTCTGCGAGCCTCTGGCAGCGGTGGTTGTTTCCAAATTTTGTCCCGGTGCCACTCCAAATGTCGTGGCCCCTGGGCTCAGCTCCCTTCTCCAGCCACCTGTGGAAGCACAAAATCCTGGAATGGTTTGGGCTGGAAGGGACCTGGAATCTCATCCCGTTCCAGAGCAGGACGCTCCGAGCCCCATCCACATTCCCTGCAGGTGTGGGGAGGGGAGGTGACCCTGGGGCTTGTCCCCACACGTCCCAAACCCCCCAGGACAATCAGGAGCTCTCTGCTGCCCTTCCCCCTGGCTTGGTGGCCCTGTGATCCCAAACCCTTGAGCTCTTGGGATCACAACATTGCCAGCTGAACCCGAGGGATGTTCCAGCATCATCCCAGCGAGGGCTGGGATGGAATTTGAACTCAAAGCAGCAGCAGCAAAGCTCAGCTCAAACGTGACCCTTGGGCATGTCCCACCCTCCAGGCTGGGCTCCCTCCTGGAGCTGCTGGTCCCAGTGGTGCTGCTGGGAATGACGGAGCTCACGGGAATGTCCCACTCACCCCTCCCGTGTCCTCAGGGCCGCGACACACAGCTGGATTTTGGGACAGCAAAACGTGCCAGGGAGACTCCACAGCACAGCTAATGACAACGTTCTGCACGTTCACTTAATCACTAATTAATCTCCTTAATGCACAAAACGGAGCCGTGGGGCTGCGGGAACAACGCCGAGCGTTGCTGATCCCGTGTAATTGGGGGAGCACGGGCAATGGGGAGCACGAGCCCCGCACCTCGGCACGGCACCAGAGCGACACGAGCATCTCCTCATCTCCCGCGGTATTTAATTAGAAATGTCGCGGTTAATTGATTTCTTGGCGATGTTAATTAAAGAATAATGAGGACCAGGTTGCAGCGAAAGGTGCCGGGGAGAAGTTTTGGGTCTCTCCTGGAGGGTGGGTGTGTTGGGTGTGTTGGGTGCTCCCTGAGCTGGCCAGGGGACAATCCCAGGGTGGTGTCATCTGTGTCCCAAATCTGTCACCCAGCCAGGGGACAATCCCAGGGTGATGTCACCCATGTCCCAAACCTGTCACCCAGCCAGGGGACAACCAGGGGACAATCCCAGGGTGGTGTCACCCATGTCCCAAACCTGTCACCCAGCCAGGGGACAATCCAGGGTGTGAGGTCTGGGCATGGCTCAGCTCCCCCGGGATGTTCTGGGGACATTGCCAGGGTGGCACGTGCCAGCCCTGGTGGCTGTCCCCAGCTCTGGGTGTGTCCCCGGGTCCCTTTGGGGTTTTCCTGGTTTTTAGGGATTATTCCAAACCTGGCACCTCATCCTGGCATCTGGGCACCCCCTGACATCCTGGGAATGGCGAGGGCTCAGCTGCCAGCAGTGGGGGCTTCCAGCGGGGTGGGCACCCCGGGACACCCCGGGACAACTCAGGACATCCCGGGACATCCTGGGACACCCCAGAACACCCCAAAACACCCCAGGACACTCCCTGGGACACCTTGGGACACACCCAGAACACCCCTGGGACCCCCCAGGGACACCCTGGGACACCCCCGGAATACCTCCGGACACACTGGGACACTCCAGAACATCCCAGAACACCTGGGGACAGTCCCAGGATGTCCCAAGACACCCCAGCACATCCTGGGACACCTCGAGACACCCCAGGACACCCCCAGGATGTACCAGGACCCCCAGGACACTCTTTGGGACACCCTGGACACCTCCAGGACACGCCGGGACAACTCAGCACATCCTGGGGACACCCCAGGACACCCCCAGGATGTCCCAGGACACCCCGGGACACCCCAAAACACCCCCAGGACATTCTGGGACACCCTGGGGACACCCCAAAACACCCCCAGGACACTAATGACACCCTGTGACATTCTGGGACACCCCAGGACACTCCCTGGGATATCCCAGGACATCCTGGGACATTCTAGGACACCCCAGAACACCTGGGGACAGTCCCAGGATGTGCCAGGACACCCCGGAACACCCCAGGACACTCCCTGGGGCACCCTGGGGACACCCCAGGACATCCTTGGACATTCTGGGACACCCCAAAACACCCCCAGGACACCCCGGGACACCCCAGGACACCCCGGGACCTTCTTTGGGACACCCTGGGGACACCCCCAGGACATTCTGGGACACCAGGGGACACCCCAGGACACCCCAGGACACCCCAGGACCCTCTTTGGGACACCCTGGGGCCACCCCGGGGCCACGGCAGGGCTCCTGTTTTTAACCCTTCCCTCCCCACGGCCGTGACTCCAGGGATGGGTGACACCACAGGGGCCCGAAGCCGCCCGGGCCCCAGGGACACACAGCTTATTATGGGATGGCCCGGCCGGGAACCGCCGCTGGCAATGGGGATCTCCCCTGGATGGGGAAATGAGGGAGCTGGGGTGCTTGTGTATGACGGTGATTTAATTATTAGATTAATTAATTATTATTTAAATTAATTATTTTTTAAATTATTATATTAAAATAGATTCAGTATATTGGATTAAATTATTGTATTATATTAAATATATTGTATTCTATTAAATATATTAAAGATATTAAAGATATTAAAGATATTAAAGATATTAAAGATATTAAATATATATATTAAATATATTAAAGATATATATTCTATTCTATTACATATATTACATATATTACATAATATTACATTATATTATATTATATTACATTATTCGAATATATTAAAATACTATATTAAATATATTAAATCGAATATAAAATATTATTCTATTAAACCGATTATTATCCTATTCAATAATTATATATAATTCTAATATTTAAATATATTAAATTCTATCTTAAATAATTATAATAACTAACAATCGAATAACTGGTTAATAAAATATTAATATTAAATATATAATTACAACATAATTATAATTATAAGTAAATGATTTAATTAAATTCTATTTATATAATTACAAAAATAATTTTAAAATCTGCATCATGCCAGAACACAAAAATGTGCATAATTACAGGCATAACAGATATAATTCTCTTCTAGTCCATCTAATAAAATATCGAAGGCAATTAATAAAATTTAAAACATGTAATTAGCTATTAATCTACATGACATAAACCCTGTGACGCACGATCGACATTTTCTATGTACACAATCGATGTGTGCACACCAACATATATAAAATAGGAATCTAAAAATATATATATCCATTCTTTCTAATAGAATTTGTATTTTCATTTTTATCTGTTTTCTAATAGGTATATTCCAATATCTAATGATTCTCTAATTATAGCTAATATTAGAAAATAGATATCTTTTCTAATAGAGATTTCTACATAGAAAATTCGATAGATTTATATATGTTTATATATCAATTTCTAATATCTATATTTCTAGATAGAAAATAGATATCTAATATATACATTAGATATACATTTGCGTATTTTATTAATGTAAATGTGTGTATAACGTGTAGCTGCTATATTTTAGATCTATTTCTTTCCTTTAAATATATTTTTATATCATTATATATCAATAGTATAAGTTATATTTTAAATTATATTATAAATTATATTATAAATTATATTATAAATTATATTATAAATTATATAATATATATAATTTATATTATTTAGAATTTGTTTATATGTTATTGCATATATTAAGAATATATATAGTTTTATATATAATTTTCTAGATAGGATTTTATAATTTTATGGATATCATATCCATCTATAAAAATAAAATAGAAACATTATATATATAAAATATAAGATATAAAATATATAAAATATATATCTATAAATATATGGATAATATAATAATATAAAATAATATGGATATAAATTTTTTTATTTTAGGTTTGGGAGCTCTCCCAACATCCAACCCCTGTGCAGGGGTGGGGCTGCCACTCCTGGAGCTGGGACACCTGGGGACACCCCAGGGACACCCCAGGGACACCCCACACACCTGTGACACCCCCAGGGACACCCCACACACCTGTGACACCTGTGACACCCCAGGGACACCTCCAGGGACACCCCACACACTTGTGACACCTGTGGGACCCCTGGGGACACCCCCAAGGACACCTGTGACACCCCAGGGTCACCCCACACACCTGTGACACCTGTGGGACACCCCTGTACTCACCCACCACCATGGAGCCACCAAACCCTGCTTGTTCCCGCTCCCAGCTCCTCCCAGTTCATCCCAGTTCATCCCAGTTCCTCCTAGTTCATCCCAGTTCCTCCCAGTTCCTCCTAGTTCATCTCAGCTCCTCCCAGCTCCTCCCAGTTCATCCCAGTTCATGCCATTTCCTCCCAGTGTCTCCCAGTTCCTCTTCTCCTCCCAGTGCCTCCCATTTCTTTCCAGTTCCTCCCAGCTCTCCCCAGTTCCTTCCAGTTCCTCCCAGTGTCACCCAGTTCCGTGCAGCTCTTCCCAGTTCCTCCCAGTGTCACCCAGTTCCGTGCAGCTCTTCCCAGTTCATCCCAGTGCAACCCAGCTCCTCCCAGTTGTTCCCATTTCCTCCCAGTGCCTCCCAGTTCTGTGCAGTTCTTCCCAGTTCCTCCTAACTCCTCCCATTGCCTCCCAGTTCATCCCAGTGCAACCCAGTTCCTCTCAGCACCTCCCAGTTCCTCCCAATTCCTCCCCTTTCCTCCCAGTTCCTCCCATTGCCTCCCAATTCCTCCCAGCTCCTCCCAGTTCATCCCAGCTCCTCCCAGTACGTCCCAGTTCCTCCCAGTGCCTCCCAGTTCATCCCAGCTCCTCCCAGTACGTCCCAGTTCCTGCCAGTGCCTCCCAATTCCTCCCAGTTCATCCCAGCTCCTCCCAGTACGTCCCAGTTCCTCCCAGTGCCTCCCAGTTACTCCCAGTGCCTCCCAGTACGTCCCAGTTCCTCCCAGTTCCTTGCAGTTCTTCCCAGTTCCTCCAATTTCCTCCCAGTTCCTCCAATTTCCTCCCAGCTCCTCTCAACTCCTTTCAGTTCCTCCCAGCTCCTCCCAGTTCCCCCCCCCAGTGCCTCCCAGTTCCCCCCAGTGCCTCCCAGTTCATCCCAGTTCCCCCCAGTCCCTCCCGGCAGGTGTCCAGGTGAGTTCCCAGCACGTTTGGTCTTTATTTCCACACTCACTACAGCTGTACCTACGGAAGGGATCCACGCACACGGGCACGGGGCGAAAGAATAAATTAAAAGAAATCATCATTAAAAAACAAACAAACAAAAAAAGAACCAAAATAAACCCCAAACAACGAACCAAGGGGAGAAAAGGAGAGAAAAAAAAACGGTGGGGAATGAGAATAAAAAGGCGAAATGAAGGAAGTTGGGACACGGAGCTTGTGTAGCACGCGTGGCTCGGATGTCACGCACTCCAGCGCCGAGGAGGACGCGCGGTCCCGGGGCCGCCCTGGCAGCCTCCTCTCCCTCCTGGGCGCGGCAGGAGCTCCCCAAAAACCCCTCCGAGGTTTGGGGGGGACGGGGGGAACGGGGGGCTCGGGGCCCCATCCCGAGGAAAAGCCGCGGGCGGCGGCGGTGGTGGCGGCTTGGGTGACGTCCCTAGAGTCCGGTGGGTGCCACCGCCTGTGTCCCCCCGTGCTGGCCCGGGCTCCTCTCCATGGTGGCCACACCGGGAGCCTGTCCCTGCTTTAGTCGTTGGAGGTGACGTCGATGTCTTCTCCGCTCGACTGCTTGGTGGCGAGGCGCCATCGGTTGATGTGGTGCGAGCCTTTCTTCTTCTGCTCCGAGTCGGGGCCCTCCTCCTCCAGCTTCTGCCGTTTGTATTTCGTCCTCCTGTTCTGGAACCACACTTTTACCTGGGACACACACACAGGTGTTCGTGGGGACAGGCACAGCTAGCACTGCACAGCTGGCCATGCACAGCTGGCTGCTGCAGCCAGGCAGGAAGTTTGGGGTTCACTGAAGAGAGGCCAAAGTGTCCCCTGTCCTTGTCCCTGTCCCTGTCCCTGTTCCTGTCTGTTCCTATTCCTTATCCCTGTTCCTGTCCCTATCCCTGTTTCTGTTCCTGTCATGTCCCTGTCCCTGTCCCCGCCCCTATTCCTGTCCCTCTCCCTGTTCCTGTCTCTGTTCCTATCCCTTATCCCTGTCCCTGTCCCTTATCCCTGTCCCTTATCCCTGTCCCTGTTTCTGTCCCTGTCCCTCCAGGAGTGCTCCCACAGCCACCCAGCCCTTTCTCAGTTTCTCACGCCAAGGTGGGACACGGGGCACGAACGTGGTCGCTGCCACCTCGCAGCCCTGGAGACACACGAGGGGGTGAAGGACACTCGGTGACACCCCAGACAGGGGACAGCAGCACAGGGGACACTCCTTAGAGCAGCCAGAGCCCGAGCTGGGCTGTGCCTGGATGGGCACAGAACGGTGGCAGCACCAAACCCAGCCCTGGGCCAGCTGCCACCGGGGCCAGGATGCCACAGGCACAGCGGCCGTGGCTCCAGGGACAGCTGGGATGGTCACAGTGACTGCTGGGATTGTCACAATCATCACTGGGATGGTCACAGTGGCCTCTGGAATTGTCACAATCATCACTGGGATGGTCACAGTGACTGCTGGGATTGTCACAATCATCACTGGGATGGTCACAGTGGCCACTGGGATGGTCACAGTGGCCTCTGGGATTGTCACAATCATCACTGGCATGGTCACAGTGACTGCTGGGATTGTCACAGTGGCCACTGGGAGCCATCCCCACACCTCCAGCCAGGACTGTAATTACAATTATCGCTCATTAATTGACCACCCTGAGGTTTCAGACCTTTCCCACTCTGCTGGTGCCAAACACTGTCCCAGGGGACATTCCCAGGGGACACAGCAGAGTCTCCATCCCTGGGGATCCCACCCTCCTCACCTGCCTGAGCCCCAGGAACCCTGAGCCAGCCCCACAGGCCTGGATTCCAGCACTGGGAGCACGGGATGGGCTGGGGGTGGGCAGGGACAGGGGTCAGTGTGGGGTGGGCAGGGACAGGGGTCAGTGTGGGGTGGGCAGGGGTCAGTGTGGGGTGGGCAGGGACAGGGGTCAGTGTGGGGTGGGC